TATTGATCTTGCATCCTGCAGCTAACTTAGTTCTATAGTTTTTTGAATATTTTTGTCAGAGTAAAACGGGCTGCTTTGTGGAAACAAATGAAAGAGTTTTATTGAGGACAAAAATACATTCTGGACTGGGAAACATAGGGTACAAAATGAAAGTACCAAGTGTTCGAGCATCCCGAGGGAGAGGTGAGCTTTTCATGTAGGAGAGTGGGGAAGGGATTATGTGACCACAGTCATTTTTGGAGTTGAGGTGTAGCTAGAAGGATGGCACTCTTGTCATGCAGTGGTTAAGGCATTCGGCTGCTAACTAACAGCTCAGCAGTTCAGCCTACCAGCTGCTCCGTAGGAGAAAGACGAGGCAGTCTGCTTCCGTAAAGATTTACAGCCTTGGAAACCTTATGTTGCAGTTCTGTTCTGTCCTGTAGGGCTGCTGAGTTGAAATCAACTTGATGGCAATGGGCTTAGTTTGGTTTTTGGTTTATAGGCATAAAACAACAGTGAGTGAAAATTCTACAAGGTTAGCTTATTGATTTTCTTGGAGCCAACCTAGCAAACAATTTTCTGGAATAACTACATACACATCCTTTCTGGGACCTGATGCACATTCTGCCATGACCATCTCAACAAACATTTTCCTGACGAAAACTTCTTCACGAATCTTCTATTGTATGCTGAGGTTGGTTGGAGTTCTGTAAGTAGAAGTTAAAGGTCATTAAGGCACTAACTCACAGGCTTTATTCTTAGGAAGGCAGAAAGGACAACTTTGGACAAGTACAATCCAATAATGGAGTTTTGATTTAGACCTGGGATTGTTGTTGTTATGTGCCGTCGAGTCGGCCCCAACTCATAGCGACCCCTCCTTGGGTTTCCGAGGCAGTATCACTACGGAAGTAGATCGCCCAACCTTCCTTCCAAGAAGTGGCTGGTGGGTTTGAACTGCCAGCCTTCTGGTTAGCAGTCAAGTGCCTTAGGCACTACGCTACCAGAGCTCCTTTTTCCCCATCTTCTTGCACTGGTTAAAACTTTGCGTACGATTTTGAATAGAAGTGGTGGAGTGGGTGTTGTTGCCTTGTTCTTCCTGATCTTTAGAGGGAAAACTTTCAGTCTCTCACCTTTAAGTATGATAGGTTTTTCATAAATGTTCTTTATTAGGTTGAGAAAGTTTTCTTGTATTTCCAGTTTGCTGAGAGTTTATTTTAATTTTTTAAAAATCAAAAATGGATGTTGGAGTTCTTTCAAATGTTTTTTCTGCATCTGCTGAGATAAGTGGTTTTTCTTCTTAGTTTGTTGATGTGGTTAGTTACATTTGCTTTTCAAATATGAAATTAAACATGCATACCTGGGCCACAGTATAGTGTTCTCTTTATATATTGTTGGGTACAGTGTGCTAAAATTTTGTTGAGGGTTTTTACATTTGTGTTCACGGGATATTGGTTTGTAGTTTTCCTGGGTCTTTGGTTTTGGAATCAGGTAATACCGGCCTCAGACTGACTCGGGAAGTATTTTCCCTTTTCTGGAAGAGCTTGTCTAGAGTTGCTGTTTCTTTTTCCGTAAATGTTTTAATTCAAATTCAGCTAGGCCTGCACTTTTCTTTGGAGGAAGGTTTAACTACAAATTAAATTTTTTTAGTATGTCAGAGATATTCAGGTTATTTATTTTTTCTTCAGTGCTCATTGTCTGCTTACAGTCCTCTCAGTTTGTTTCATTTATTTTGAAGCTCTGTTATTAGGTGCATAAACATTTAAGATTGTTTATATCATCTGGATGAATTGACTTCTTTTCATTATCAAAGGGTACTCCTTATCCCTGACAGTATTTTTTGTTCTGAAATCTAATTGGAATTATTAATGTAGCCTTTTTGGCTTTATTTTGATTAATATCAGCATCTAGTGTGTCTTTTTCCATACTCTTTTGACATATTTGTGTTTTTACATTTAAAGTGAGCTTCTTACAGGTAGTTTACAACTGGATTTTGCTGTTTACGCTTACATTTGACTGCTAACCAGAAGGCTGGTGGTTCAAACCCACCAGCCACTCCTCGGGAGGAAGGCTGGGCAATCTGTTTCCATAGTGATACCACCTGGGAAACCCAAGGAGGGGTCAATATGAGTCAGATCTGACTTGATGGCAGTGAGTTTGGTTTTTGTTTGTTTGTTTGTTTCTTAGAATCTCTGCTTTTTAATTGGGATGATTGTTGGTAATTATTGGGTTTAAATCTGTTATCTTGTTATTTGCTTTCTGTTTGTTCCATTTATTCTTTGTACCTGTTTCCCTTTCTCTGTCTTCTTTTGGATTGAGTTTTTTTCTTTTTTTTTTAGTGATACTATTATTTTCTCTCTTTTATCGTCTTACCAGCTATACGTCTTTGTTGTGTCCTTTCATTGGTTGCTTTGGGGTCCGTAGTATATGCCTCTTTCATTTGCCATAGTCTACTTTCATGTAATACTGTGCTGTGGTGGTTAGGTGCCATTGAGTTGATTTTGGCTTACAGCAATCAGTACAGCAGTAGAACTGCCCCATAGGGTTTCCTTGGATGGTTTCTATATGGAAGCAGACCACCAGGGCATTTTCCTGAGTCAGTGCTAGGTGAGTTCAGAACTCCAACCTTTCTGTTAATGCTTAACCAATTAGCAGCACCAGGCCTTCATGTTATACTGCTTCATGTAAAATATAAGCATCTTACAAGGATTTACTTTCATTTCTCTGCTCCTTGGCCTTTGTGCTTTTAATGTATATTTTTATGTGGGGTGGTGGTGGTGGTAGGTGCTGTAGAGTCATTTCTAACTCAGCAACCCCATGAGACAAAGTTAGAACTGCCCCCGAGGGTTTTCTTGGCCCAAGTCTTTACAGAAGCAGTCTGCCAGGTCTTTGTCTTATGGCGCCACTGGGTGGGTTTGAACCCATTTTTTCATTACCCCAAGCCCTTAACCGTTGCACCACCAGGGCTCCTTTTTATGTCTGTTGTGGTGGTGGTGGTATGTGCCGTCGAGTCGGACCCTACTCATAGCGACCCCTCCTTGAGTTGCCAAGGCAGTATCACTACAGAAGTAGATTTTTATGTCTGTTAGAAAGCCCAAAATGCATAAAAATTTCTCTTTTTTTGCTTCTTATTTTTAAAAGAAGATTAAATAATAAGAAAGTCTTTTATATTTACTCCTGTAGTTACCTATTTCATCCTATTACTTCTTGGAATTCTGATTAGAGATTGAATCGAATTCTGATTAAATTTGTTAAACTTTCTCACTCTTACATATCTTAACCTCATTTGCAGGTTTACTGTTTCTGTTTACATTTGGATAATTTCTTGATATTATGGTTCACTACTAGACTCGACGGCACATAACAATAACAACAACAACAACAACTAATTTTCTTTAGCCATTGTAATCTACTGATTAGTAAAACTGATTCATTTAATTTTTTCAGCTTTTTTATTTTTTTAAGACCTTCCGTTTTGTGGATTTTCAAATCCGTTTGGTCATTCTTTATTGGTTTCTGTCCCTGACAAATGTTTTCAAATTTGTTTTTGTGTTTTTAATTGTAAATGGCTAGTTTTTAATCATCAGTGGCTTTATGTTTTTAATTGTAGATGACTAGTTTGTATTCTAGATCTGATTATTCCAGTATCAGAAGTCTTTATGCATCTATTTTTGCTCTTTTTCTTTTCGTTCTTGCTTACCATACTGTTTCCTTGTGCAGTTATACCCATTTCATTGTCGGCATGGTTGGGAAGACCAGGTTGTTAAGTGAAAATTGGCATTAATGAGAAAATGGAGGATGACCACATAAGATCACAAACTGGAGGCGGCTTACAGCATTACACAAGTCTCAGATTGTGTCATCACTTAACTGCCAGACCACTGCGAACGTGGCTCTGCCAAGTTAACACAGACCCTTAACCATCACAGGCAGCGTTACTCTTGCCTCGCCCCTCAGCGTTTGTTACTGCCAAACGTACTTTATTAATGTGCAGAATAGTCGGATCGTGGATTTTTTATTATTGTCGTAAATGTAGAATGTCAGATAACAAGGTAGTTGATAATTAAGGAGTAGGTGTAGTTACTTTTTACTGAGGACTGCTCATATACTTCTCAAAATTATTTGTGAGAATTCTTTGAGGCTTATGACAAGGTTTCTCTGGAGAACGTTTATTTGCTTTCTGGGGAATTACTGCTTTGGAACTACCTTCAATTCTTAGTTTGAAGTGTTTGGTTTGGTTGGTGGTTTTGCCCACCTAGATGATGTGAATTTGGGCTCCATGTGTTTACATTCAAAAGCCAAAGTGAAAATTTCAAACAAAGTAGTGCTATTTTTAAATCTTCTGAAAATCTAAGGAAATTTCCTTTCACTCTCTTCTTCCTCATTGAAAAAAGAGTTTTATTCTCTCCTCCTGCCTTTCAAAGGTCCCAGAGCGCTGCGGAAGAAAGGCCTGGTGATCTGTTTCCATAAGGGTTATAACCAGGAAAACGAGGGAGCAGTTCTGCTCTGTAACCATGAATTGAAATAAATGATCACAATTGAGTGGCAATGTTGGGTTTAGCTTTTAATTTCCCAACTTTTGTGTGGTTTGTCAATATTCTCAACATAGTTCTATAAAGCAACAGATGAGTAATACATAATTACAACCTGAATTTTTCATTTCGTGTCTTGGAAAGATATTGTACAGATTCCCACCCCACCCCCAAATATGTTGTTACTCCTTAAGAACAAGAAAAACAGAAATACATGATAAACTTTCCTTTGTGGTTTCATTGCTTGGGAATTTGTCTTTAGCTCATCATTGGTGATCTCAGACCTCTATTCCAGTCTGTGAGGCTATACATGGGTTGGCCAGACTTTTTCCCCAGCCTCCTTATTACAGTTCCAGTGCTATAGGGGAATCTGTAGAGTGAAGGAGGTCTGGGTTAGCTTTTCAGGGTCTCTAATTCTGTGCAAAAGACAGAGCCTTTGGCAAAAGTATGTGCATCTGTTGATTCACTTTTTTTTCCCCCCAAACATCTAAGGAAGTGGAAAAACCCTTGCCTTTGCCATTCCGATGCTTCATGCAGTGCTGCAGTGGCAAAAGAGGAAGCCTACCCCAGCTGCTGGAGATAGTGGAGTGTCCCCTGGAGAGGCAGAGACTGGATCGCCAAGCAAGGCTGGAACAGAGTCTGGAACATTGCCTGAGGAGCCTGGAATCGAGAGTGAAGCAGTGTCCAGTGAGGCTGGAGTGCTACCCCGCAAGGCCAGAGCCAAGACCGGAGCTGCTGTCTCAGACCAGGTGCTGCTCTTCTGTGATAATGATGCTGGTGAAGGACCTTCTTCCCTGGTCAAGGAGAAGTTTGTGTCTGAACAGGATGAGGGTGAAGAGGAAAAGCTCAGTGAAGAGCAGACTGGACAGTTAAAACAAGAGTTGAGTGCTGGGCTGACCACCTGTAAAGAGCCTCCAAAGAGCCCTCTCCTGGGCCTGGTTCTGACCCCTACTCGAGAGCTGGCCATCCAGGTCAAACAGCACATCGATGCTGTGGCCAGGTTTACAGGTGAGATGTAGTTCTATTTGATACATGTTTGCTGAGAGCATCCTAGATGCTGGGGTAGCACAGATTAATGAACTGTGACTCCTGTCCTCTAGGGGACTCTTTCTCTGCTAGAGAATAAGTCCTAGAAAAGATTATTTGAGTGACTGTTTTCTCAGTTTTCCAAAGAAAGGTCACTAGTGCTGTTTTAGATGGATGGAACATTGATTTATTGTATATGTTGGATGCTTTGGGCAGGTGTTAGCAAATTGCCTGTTATTGTAAATAAAGTTTTACATTTGTTTATGTATTTTCTATGGCTGCTTTTGCACTACAAAATCTGAGTAGTTAGTAGTTCTAACAGAGACATCTGGCCTGCAAAGCCAAAAATGTTTGCTGTTTGTCCCTTTAAGAAAAATTTCGGAGTTCCTGCCTTGCAGCAAAGGAGCTCTGGTGGTGTAGTGTTTAAGGCATTTGACTGCTAACCAGAAGGTTGGTGGTTCAAACCCACTAGCCACTCCATGGAAGGAAGACTGCGTAATCTACTTTTGCAAAGATTTACCACCTTGGAAACCCAAAATGGGTTGCTGTGAGTCGAAATTGACTCGATGGCATTGAGTTTAAGGAGCTCTGGTGATGTGTAGTGCCTCAGGCATTTGACTGCTAACCAGAAGGTTGGCAGTTCAAACCCCAGCCTCTCTGCAGAAGGAAGAGTGGGCAATCTGCTTCCATAAAGATTGACTTGGAAACCTAATGGGGATTGCTGTGAGTTGGAATCTACTCGATGGCAGTGAGCCTTAGAGCATTACAACTTAATTCTCTCAGGGAATCTCTTTTGCAAGGTCTGCGTAGTGGGAATTTTGTTTTTATGAGAGAAACGGTTTATTGAGCTCTTAGCACGTGCAAGACACTTTACTGTGTGTCGGTGTTTTCCCTGTGTGATCCGACATGAAACTTCCCACACTGGACACCATGAGAGAGGAGAACAGAGCACAAAAGTAGGTTTGACTGATTCTGGTTCTGGGGAACGGGAGGGGCTTTCTGGGTGTGTCACAGAGCTCCAGTGGTGTGTCACAGCATCACCCCCAGCATTGTGGTGCACCACCGCTCAGTTTTTCCAGGGCATTGGAGGCAGTCATATGTGAGTTCAGCTCCAGACCTGTTCTGGTCAGAGGGCAGAAGTAAAAAGAAATGAAGTTGGGGAAGTAGGCAGGTTCGCCTAGAAGACTCGGTCAGCCCTCTGGGAGTGGCACCAGTCAGAGCCAGCTGGCTTTTCACCCACCTGGACAGGGCGCTGTGCTGGTGACTGCCTCTATCTGGGGCACTTGGGTCAGCCGTATAAGAAAATAAGCAGCAGAGAACTCGGTGGTACCTGGCTGCCATTGCAGGCCATTCTGACGGGGCCACAATAGATGGGCCCTGGTAGAATTGGAGAAAAATATGGAACAGAACTTCAAACTCCTGAACAAACAGACAAAAACCAGACCTTCTAGACTGGTTGGGACTGGAGAACTCCCTGAGACTACTGCCCTGAGATGTGCTTTAAACCTTGAACTGAGCTAATCCTGAGGTTATCTTGTAGCTGAACAACAACTTGGCCCCAAAATAACGAATATCATGCCAGTACTGTGCTCCTTTTTTAAAATCACCTATATGAGACTGTGGTAGTCAAATTTGTATGTCAACTTGGGTGGACCTAGTTGAGTGGCTGGGCAGCTGGTGGTAGTTATTCCCCATGATGAGACTGGCAGTCAACTCCGTGGTGGAATCTACCACAAGCAGCTGAGTAGCTGCCTTTGGGGTGTGCTCTGCTTCCTCTATATAAGGAGAAGCCTTGGGGATAGTCTCCAGTTTATGGCATGCTTGGACCCTGCATGTAGTCATGTCATTGTTCAGCAGCCTGCCATGCTCTGCTGACCTTGGGACTTCCAATGGACTTGAATCAATGGCCTGCCATGTGGTTTGGTAACATCGGAACTGTGCCGTTTTATTTGCTGACCTTGGGCTTGTTAGCCTCAGCAGCCAGTAGCTGCCTGAGTGAAGAGATGCCTCTAGCTTCGGTGGGCCAGGAGCAAGAGGCAAAGCTGAAGCCCAAGGTTGAGTGACTTTCACCCAGCCCCTAGAGCCTGGCACTTTGAACTCAGACTTCTAGCCTCCTGAATTGTAAGAGAATAAACTCCTGTTTGTTAAGGCCATCCCATTTGTGGTATATTCTTGTCATAGCGGCCGGCACTAGTCAGAACAGAGACCAAATGGTTAACAGTTACTTTAAAACAAAGATAAGAATATAAGGGGACAGGGAAACTAAATTAGTGGAAGCAGAACAACCAGAATGGAAACAAGAGCGTTCATGCATTGTGATGAATGTGACTAGTGTCAGTGAGAACAGTTTATGTAGAAACTGTTGAACGAGAACCTAAATTACTGTGTAAACCTTCACTGAAAGCACAATAAAATAGCATCGAAAAAAATAAAAGCAACAGCCAGACTAACATTGCCCTTTTTCTTTTGTTCCATAGGGATTAAAACTGCTATTTTGGTTGGTGGAATGTCTACACAAAAACAGCAAAGGATGCTGAACCGCCAGCCGGAGATTGTGATTGCTACTCCAGGCCGGCTGTGGGAGCTGGTTAAGGAAAAGCACCCTCATCTGAGTAACCTTCGGCAGCTCAGGTGAGAGGGCTGAAGTGGGCCTGAGGTGATGTAGTGTGTGTAGTGTGTGCAGCACCTTCTTGCTGTCACAGAGTATCATGGTGGGCTACCAGCAGACCTTGCCCTCCAGGAAACAAAGCATGCATGAGATGAGAGACATTAATTGAAGCCCTGGTGGGGTGTGTGGGGGCGTTCAGAAGCTGAGTGGGGTGGGTAGGAGCAGGGTGTGCTGTCAAAGTCTCCTCACTGCTGCTAAACTGATGATGTGGATGGGTCTGGATTTACAGGTGCCTGGTAGTGGATGAAGCTGACCGGATGGTTGAGAAAGGCCACTTTGCTGAGCTCTCCCAACTATTGGAGATGCTTAGTGACTCTCAGTACAACCCAAAGAGACAGACGCTTGTTTTTTCTGCCACACTGACGCTGGTACATCAAGCTCCTGCTCGAATCCTTCATAAGAAGCACACCAAGAAAATAGACAAAACTGCCAAACTTGACCTCCTCATGCAGAAAATTGGTATGAGGGGCAAGCCCAAGGTCATCGACCTCACAAGGAAAGAGGCTACAGTGGAGACGCTGACCGAGACCAAGATCCATTGTGAGACTGATGAGAAAGACCTATACTTGTACTACTTCCTGATGCAATATCCAGGTCGCACTTTAGTGTTTGCCAACAGCATTTCCTGCATCAAACGCCTCTCGGGGCTCCTCAAAGTCCTGGATATCATGCCACTGACCCTGCATGCCTGCATGCATCAGAAGCAGAGGCTCAGAAACCTGGAGCAGTTTGCCTACGTGAAAGAGTAAGTCAGGCTCCTAGCTACTGGGTCACGGGGACCAGGATGGTGGGGAGACAGTGGGAGGTTGCTTTTCAGCATGAGGGCCTGTTAGTAGAAGGTAGCCTTCTCTTGCACAGCATTAGACAGGTTCACTGTCATTTTGCATTTGGTTGCTGGTAATAGCAGCAGAAACTTTCATGATGAGTACTACCAACACCAGCTGCCATTGAGTTGACTGACACATGGTGACCTCTTGTGTCACAGTAGAACTGTACTCCATGGGGTTTTCAGTGGCTAATGTTTTGAAAGTCAGTCATCAGGTCTTTCTTCAGAGGTGCCTCTGGGTGGTCTTGAACCACCAACCTCTCAGTGAGCAGTCAAGTGTGTTAACTGTTTGCACAATAGTCCCTATTACTACTGAACAATTGAAACAAAGTCAAGCCTATTTTGGCACTTAAGCTACATCATCATGTTCAGTCACTTCCCACATCCTTGAGAAGAAGCAGAATAGGCTAATAGTTGATATCACAGATGCTGGGACTAGACTGCCTGAATTCAAATCCTGACTTTATCTCTTCCTAACTGGTCAGGTTACTTAACCTCTCTGTGCTTCATTTTTCTCATCTATAAAATTGGGGTAATAATAGAAGGTATCTTGATTATTTAATCCTCTTACGAGGATGAAATTGTGAATTCATGTATAGAAGTATTTTAGAACAATGCTTGGGACATAGTGTGTGGTCCATAAATATTAGCTTTGATAACTACTATTTTTACTGCTACCATTTATAATGGTTATTGTCATTGTTCTCATTTTAGAGATAAAGAAAGTGAGGTCTAGAGAAGCAAATCAGCTTGCCCAGGACTTTTCAGCGTGGAAGTGTGAACCTGGCCAGTCAGACTCTAGGACCCAGGGTCTCTGTCACCTCAGGGAGGAGGGTCCAGTGTCAAGATAAGGGCCTAGGAGTTAAGGCAGACTGTAAATTGGCCTTTGCTCACCGTATTTTGTCAGGTCATAGGGTGGTTTATTTGTGTGTATGTCATGCCATTGCTTTCTTGCCTGCATGGTTTCTGACCAGATATCAGAGCTTAGTCTTACTGGTTGCCCATGAATGAAAAGTAGATAACTTTTCATTTTTCCCATGCTGCCTTCAGGATTCTTTTTTTTTTTCCTCCTGTCATTGGTTTTAGTAAGTTTGATTATGCTATATCTCAGTGTTTTTCTTTTGGGGTCAATCCTGTTTGGGTTTTGTTGAACTTTTGAAATGCATATGTTCTTGTCTTTCATTGTATTAGGGAAGTTCTCATCCAACAGATCTTTGACCATATTCTCTGTGGTTTCACATGTCTTTTCCTGTTCTGGAATGCTGACCCCATGTAAGTTATTCCTCTTGATGGTGTCTGACATAAATCTTAGGTTTTCTTAATTTTTAAAAAAGACTTCTTCTGATTATTCCTTTAACAAAGTAGTATTGAAAGATTTGTCTTCAGTGTCACTAATTCCGTCTTCCATTGCATTGATTCTATTCCGTGCCCTTTAATGTGTTACCTGTTTCTGAAATCTTAGTATTAATATCCTGGATTTCTGTTTGCTATTTTTGTATGCTTTCTAATTTTTCATTTATTTTGTCAGTTCTTGTATTTTCCTAAATTCTTAAAGAGTTTTGTCTGTGTTTTCCTTGATTTTGTCAGTGTTTTCCTTGATCTGTCTCTCAATCCATCGTTGTTGTTGTTATGTACCGTTGAGTCGGACCCAACTCATAGCAACCCTTCCTTAGGTTTCCAAGGTGGTATCACTATGGAAGTAGATTGCCCAACCTTCCTTCCAAGGAGTGGCTGGTGGGTTTGAACTGCCAGCCTTCTGGTTAGCAGTCAAGTGCCTTCGGTACTATGCTACCAGAGCTCCCTCAATCCATTGAAAGTATCTAAATATAATTCTTTTGAATTCCTTGTCAGGTAGTTCCAATGCCATCTCTTCCTCAGGAAGGTTTTCTGGCTCTGTATTCTGGTCCCTTGGTTGTATTCTTTTTTATCTTGTTCTTTTTGTAAAGTGAGATTGTTAGTTGTCTCTGGGACATTGTGATGTTATTGTATTACACTTAATTAGTGATTGTATATTGGTGTGATTTGCCTAGGTGTTTTGTTTTGTTGCCTTATTTTGTTCTCATATATTCAAGTGAGTTGGGCTGGTGTGCTACTCTGTTTGCTAGTTTGGCAGTGCTTAGACACTCACCACCTGTCTCCTGGTGGGTATGATAGAGGGTGAGAATGTATTCATAGATCTTTGTTCATGTAGAGCAGTTGAGGGTGGGCTGGGCTGGTGTTAGCTACCGTCTGTTGTTGATCAGCTGATGCAGAAGCTGGTGGTGGCCCTTGCTCAGTGGGTGGTACTGCAGGAGGTGCATATGTGATTGGGTTGTGTGGGCACAGTTGCTTTCTGGTCATCAGCCACCGATGTGGTTGCTCATGGAGTCCTTGGTGAGAGGAGCCAGTTATCAGGTTGCTGCCTGTTTCAGAACTCGTCTTGCAAATATTCAAAATGGCTGTGTCCTTAGGCCAGCCAGCAGTCCATAGCTCTGTTTGTCTTCTTATTCACCGTTTTCATTCAGTTTCTTTTACTAGTCAGTATTTAATCCACTTTTTTTATCCTTCTCTTTGAAACTCAGGGTTCCAGGATTATCTTCTGTCTGTTTCAATTGGTTTCTCATGTTTCGGTATAGAGTCTGTGTAGCTTGTCTCCCTATTCTGCCACCTTGCTGAAGTCCCTCGTTTCTAGAGCAAGTATCTGGGTACCTCTCTTTCAGTGTTGGTAGGCACTGTGTGTGGTTCCTGAGATTAG